TCTCCTTTTCACACGACGCCGTATTTTCCATTCGCATTCCATCGTTATTAACAATCTTCTTCTTCTTCTTCTTCTTCTTCTTCTTCCCCCGTGTACACGATTTTACACGGACCAATTCGCGGACAAGGGCAAAGATTAGAACTTAGAGATATAGAGATATGAAGGATACCAATAGCTAAGATGTGTAGTTGGAACTTAGTGAAAGCATCGAGCAGCAGGGGAAGGAGGAACAATCGTAGGAGGAAATGGGAAAATGACGTATTGTTTGAAAGTTTTGCTTCGTTATAGGGATCTGTAAGGAGGGGAGATGGTGGGAGAGGTGCTCGAGTGATCGGTCGAACGGCGAGACAGGGAGGGGGGAGGATGGGAGGGTCGTTGTGGGCGACGAGACGTTGCAGGTGGAGGATGGAGGAGGGTGGGAGGCCGAGGGACGGATGGGCGGAGGGGGAATGGTAGAGGAGGAGGGTGCCGCATCTGCCTCGAACGTACCTCGGCAGAGGTTGGAGGGAATTGGGTCAACCAACTTGAAGTGTGCTTCAGGTGTAGCTACCTATCTGCCCATCTTCCGACCCAAACCATTCTTAACCAAAAAAAAAAAAAAAGAATCCATCTCCTTTTCGTTCCTCGTTAACTGTGCGACGAACCGCCATCGATTCGATTCCAGGAGGATCCATCGAAGTCGAAACTTTTGCACCTCGTTTCGTGCCCTATCTTCCAGCCTCGATTCGCGCGCGTGGCAAACTGTAACACCGACGACGACGACGAGCACGATGATGTGTCCCAATTAGAAAGTACGAGTTTCAATGTCACGCGGTGTCAGGCAACCAGATGGCGCACAAAGTGTCTTCTTCGAAGTGTTAATTTTTTTTTATAAGACGAGGCGAGGAACAGTCACGTCTTGCAATTTTTTTTCCTCTCCCCTCTTTCTTCTTTCTTCTTCTTCTTCTTCTTCTTCTCCTTTCATCTCTGGCTAAGCGAAATTCGCGTGAATTCAGCGTTTCTTAAAAATCTTATGCGATGCAGAAGACGATACCGCGAGGTTAACCGCGGTAATAAAAATTGGCACCGGAACAAACGACTATCAACTATATTCGAGAGTTTCTGCTACGAATCGTGATCGATTCGAGTGGAAATATATTAATTGGGAACGAAATCGTCGATGAATCACAATGGAAACAATTTTTCAATTCTCGAATGCTCTCCTCCCCCTGAATTGAAAAAGCAAATATATATATAAATAATAAACGTACTTATTTTTTTTTTTTTTTTTTCCGTTCAAAATCTTGTGAAAGAAATCTTGTGACTCGATCGTGACAAGGATTAATCGTCGACCGTGGGGTTGCGAATCCATGAACTGGAAATGGGCCATCCCTAAACTGCAGCCAGTTTTGCCACATGAATCGATTAAGCGAAACTCGGATAATGATCGTGTAATAATCGTGCAACGGTAATTGTAATAGATTCTTCTTCGTGACACAGCACGAAGATTCAACAAATTCGTTGAAAGATTATAATTCGAGTTTATCGCACGGAATATATATATAAATATTACAACTTATTGTTTCGCTTCTCTGTTATCGAGCTTGTTTGCGAGCATTTTATGAATTTTCGTTTTTTGCCAAGGGAGAAGAGGGGCCAAGGATACGGGAGGGAGGAGCGCGCGTAACCGTTTCATGTTCCGTTTCTTCGCGGCTTTGCACGTTGAAATACTTAATAAAAGCGGCGGGGAGAGAGGCGAAATAATGAATACGAATAGAGGGCGGCCTGGGATAAGTTGCCACTGTGAATAAAAGGGTTTTCCTGCGACCAGAGTGTAATTATAACACGCTCTTAGAGGATGCGCAGTAAGGGTAATATTTAAAGTATATGTAGGTCAGCCACTGACCTGTCTTATTGCCCGACCTCTGATCGTTTCAACCTCCGAAAACGGGTGGGCGGGTCCGGGAGTGTGAATATATATATATATATTCGAATAATTTCTCCTTGTCTTATTTATATTTAACCTCGGCTAAAAGAGAAGAAAAATATGATGGAACGCCTTCTCCATGATTGCAGGAAGCGTATAGAAAATGGGTGTGCAGCTCCCTGGTGCCTTACTTTGCTCATGGGGAAAAACCGCAGGACTTGAACAGCTCGAGCAGCTGGGCCGGAAGCAGACTCAGGCCCTGCCGATCCTTTTGCCAATCCGTGGAGCAACGTTGCCCCTACTTGCTACCGGGCGACCGTGCCCCCTCCTACCCCACGCAATACGCCGGTGAACCGACCTTCCTTTGCAGAGGTAACTCGTTTTAATTAATTCGTTAAAACTCGTCGTCTCTCACCCCACGCCCTTCCAACGCCGTTGATTATTAACAAGGGTAATAATATTTTTGGCACCCTTTTATTTTATTCACCGAAGTTTATTCAACGAAGAAACCAAGGAAGGAAGGAAACATTGGATGGAAATCGTGTATATCCGAGATTAAGTGGTTGGATTAAATGGTCGGAGTGATAGGGTGGAGAAACGATTTTTAATTTTCAACGGGGGACGGGGATGACGATGATTGGGAAAATAACGAAATGATTTCAGATCCAAATATACCCGAGACCGGAGAGCAAGCCGCGAGGGCGTTGCACAGCAACGAGGAAAACGAGTGTTGCTTCCACGCGTGTTCCGAGGAGTTGGCCGGGTCGGGTATCTGCGCCAATTGCACGAATCAGGTGCTAAGGAGGCGCGGGAAGGATTACGATCCCCCAACGGCTCCCTATTGCGACGTTAATTGCACTCAACCGGCTTCCACGGGTACGTTTCCCTCCACTTTTCTCGATGTAATTTATAATCCAAAGGAGAAGTAACATCTGGACGCGTATGCGCGACAATTGTAAGCTAAAGATCCGAAATAATACCTGTTTCTTGAAAGGAAAAAAAGGAAACAAACTTTGCGTTGCTTGTTTCGATCAGGCGGAGGATACCAAGACACGGGATCGACGGAGGAAGGAGAGAGATGCCCTGTGACGAATCCTGTGTCGGTGAGGAATACGGTGCGACTGCAGGGGACGTTGGTGTGCGGAACTGGCGGTGGCGTCGACTCGATCGCAAGCGTTTCCTCTTCCAATCGATCGGCGGCCTCGATCCTCCCGCAACTCTTTTGGCTATGCTCGATCTTGACCAGTATCCTTGGCAACGTTCGAACGATTCCCGTCCTCTGGATCTCGAAGATCTTTCTTTGGTCGATCATGCCCCTAGCTGGTATACGTGGCGACGATTGTGACGGTGGTGGTGGTGGTGGTGGTGGTGATAGTGGTGGTGATAATGGTGATCGTGGATCGAACAGGGGAGAACTGGTAAACTTTCTCGCCTCTTGGCTGCGCCGTTGTTTTCGCCGAGCAAACTGCGTGGGCGTGTTGCGTTACATCGCGAGCCGATTGTACGGGAGGTGCGTGGCGGTGGAGCACAGGCGTCGAAGTTGGTGGTGTTGCTGCTGGTACTGGTGGTGGTGGAGGTGGTGGCGAAAAGTATCCGCTCGATGGGAACGTTCGGCCCCCCTCGCGGGCATCGATCGCGCGAAAATATTCTCGGTCAATTGGCCGGTACGCGTCCTCCTCCTCCTCCTCCTCCTGTTGCCGTCTCCACGATATCGGCTCGTGTCGTTGCACCGGCAACTACCGCCATCACCACCATCACCGCCGCCACTACCCACGAGCCTTTCTCCTTTACCCGCTCGGTAAAAATGTATCGCGACTCGTGCCACGAGCGTTGGTCAATGGTGTGGATACGACGATGGCCGCCCAATTTCCTCGTTGACTCGTTTACGGTAAAGTGTCCATGGCGGCGATGGAGTTGGTGGTGGTGGTGGTTGTATCGATGGTGGCGACGAACACGAGGCACGCGGCAACGAGCCGAGAAAAAGAATCGTCCTTGGCTCGCTCTTCGACAGGACGATCGAGGCGTTCGAGCGTCCGATCGAAGGAGGAGGAGGAGGAGGAAAAGGAGGAGGAGAGGGGGAAGGATGACAACAAGGGTTTTGAACAATGTTTTCGAAGAGGACGTTCGATCTTCTCCGACCAGACGCCGATATTTTAAACTGTCCTCGAGGAAAGATCCGCCATAGAACAATTCGAGGAATACGCGAAAGCGTGAAATACAGGTTTTTTTCTATCCGTAACCAGAGCTCTCTCAGAGTCGAAAAGGACTTTGGCCGTACCTTTTTCGCTCGTGAACTCCTCAAGATCTCAAGGTCTTGGAGCGAGGCAAAGACCGCGAGAAGACTAGCATCCGAGAAGAAGTAGGTCCGAGAAAAGTGATCGAAAAAAGGTTGGAGGGGCGTTCGTTAAAAGCAGGGAGAAGGAAGCGAAATATATTCGAAGAAATATTCGGAAGCGAATAAGTACGTACGTACGGAGGAAAAAATCGAAATACGATAACGAAACCGTGGTTAAATGAAAAATGAGATGTGTATTGAGAACTGTGCTGCGATATGCAAGGCGACGTAAATTTGGGTGGGGACGGGGAGAAGGGAGGGGAAAGGAAATGAACGCGTGAAGAAGCGACGAAAAAAAGAGAGAGAGAGAAGCACGGGGAGATGAGACGTTAAGGGAAAAAAAAAAAAAAGAAGAGACACGTCGATATTTTAAAGTTCGGACGTGAAGACAAATGGACGTGAAACAAAACGAAGAAATCGTAACGTCTGTCGCTAATAAATAATGATGGCAACAATAAAAAAAACGCGATCGATTGAAATGTAAATAACGACGACGACGACGACGACGACGATGACGACGACGATGACGAATGACGGTGACAATGACGGCGACGACGACAATGACAGGAACGATGATGATATAGATTATAATAATGATACGATACAAACGAGGAAGAACGATAAATAATTAAATAGTTAACGAATAATTAACGACAATGAATAATAAAATAAATTATTATAACGATTAAGTAATTATTAACGATTATTAAAAAGAAGTAAAAAAAAAAAAAAAAAAAAAAAAAAAAAAAAAAAAAAAAACTAAACGTTAACGATAGAATGATTACGATTGCAGTTATTGTTACACGTTCGATGTGTCGCATGCATTCGAACATACACGCACATATATACACAATACATGCAACATATAACACAGGAATAATAAATTATTTCGAAAAATAAATGAAAAATGCGTACGATGCGTGTAAGGGGATCGTGTAGCGAGAATGTGCGAAAGCAGGAGCGAATGGAACGCGTGAATATATACAATTGAAGAGATTGAAGAGAGGAGAACGGTATAAGTCTCGAGAAAAAAAACCAAAAAAAAAAACGATATAACACAAAATGCAAGCACATGTTCCCGTATAAGCCATTAAACGATTAACGAGATAATTAAAAAAAAAAAACAAAAAAGACGTAGATAGATAGTATTTCGGTCGTGACAGAAAAAAATACGGAGGACATACGAAACACAAGAATCGCAAGATTTGAGCAACTTGAGTGCCGAATCGATATGAGAGAAAGAAAGAGAGAGAGAGAGAGAGAAACACAGAGAGAGACACGAGAGACAGAGAGAATGTATGTGTGTGTGTATGTGAGAGAGAGAGAGAGAGAGAATTATAATTAGTAGAAACGACAACGGAATAAATAAACACGACGTTATCGAGGTATAAATATGTGTTCGTTTAGATATTACAATAAATAAGTACTATATTAACATAGACGTGTAACGATATAAATTAAAACAGAGAAAACGGAGAGAGGGCGCGAGTATGTATGCGTGCATGTGAGAAAAAAGGAAGAGAGAGAGAGAGAGAGAGAGAGAGAGAGAGAAGAAGCGAGGAAGGGATGGAG